TGGCTTTTTCCCTCTAGTACTTGGAGCTTTTCCATTTATTTAGAATGAACCCATAATCAAGTCCTATGATCAGTAGTCTTCCAAGATGCATTTAGAACCCCCTAGAATAGCCTAACAACAACTCCAAATTACAGCATGGCCTACCTCCTAGCACATACCCTTCTTTCCCCTGCCACCTTGTCACCTGGCAGAAGGCTCACCTCTGTCATTTTCTCCAGGTGCAAGTAATAAACTCAGCTGTCATGGAAAGCCCTGCTGACCCCAACTTCATAGTGAACTTCAATGGAAGCAGGGGCAGCAGGTAACCCATCAGATTTGCATCTGACCTTGCTCAGCACCACCACACAGCATCCCACCACATTCTACAAATTATTACCTGCACCCGCAATTTAGTTGGAGAGAAAAAATGGATTATTTCTTATTACAGCATTGCTAATGAGAACCTACCGGGAAAGGAGATCTGAGGCCTTTAGGTCCTCCTCTTACTGATTGTCTGTGAAGTCCAGATCATAATCTTTGCAAGTATGGGATAGTCCAGGTTTAGAGCCAGCAAATTCCCTAGCTACCACATCCTCTGTGCATCTCTATTTCTCTCCATTTTTTCTCTGAAAGTATAATTCATTGTAGATGTTTTCCTTGGGGGGAACATGTAGAAAGAGGGGTAAGTTCTGTGAAACTTCTTTTGCTTGTGTAAGGATGTATCTTGTTTTGACTGTCTGTTTTCTCTGGAATTCTTGTTTCTCTGTCTTGTCTGAGTGCCTCCTACAAAGGCATTGTCAGAAAGCTGAAGGATGGTCCCCAGGTAGCCTGAGACCAGGTATTAATAGACCATTAATCAGAGACCTGATGGTGGTTGTCGTCTTTGAAGGCTGTGTGACTTAGCATTTGGCACATGTATAGGGAGTCCAACTACTTTATTAGAAAGAGCACAGGTTTGGAGAAATGTAAACAGGTTTCTAGTTTAAGCTCTATGAAGAAAATAGGACCAGAAAAGTTCAATAATTCAGCCAAAGAAACATCCATCTCAGAGGATGTTTGAGATATCATTAAAGAAACGATATGGCAAGGTACTTGTCCTATCGTGGATGTCCAGTATTGCTAAATGGATGGTGGTTAGGTTTATGGCCATTTAGGAGGAGAAAATATGGAAAATGCAAAAATAATTTAAGACTACTTGATACAGTCAGGGCATGTATTGGAAGAAAGAGGATGGTGGGAATAAGAGGAAAAGATTAATGAATGAAAGTATACGAGCGAACAAGGTCAGTAGGAAACAGAAAGAGCATGTATGAATGACTATACTGGAGTGAGGATGACACATCTAAGTCATCATGCAGATTTATAGCATTAAAGGAAAACAAAGTACCAAGCCAGAGATTGTAACTCTGTTTAAGGAATTTGCCAGTATTTCAGCCTCATTCAGGACGAAAACTAAACTAAATACAACAACCAAACAAATGCCCAAATAAGCACATGAGATCAGTTTCTTAGTTGGGGAGAATGGCGGTACCCTGGTGAAAAAGGGCAGTAATGGGATCAACATATAAAACGGCCAGGTGTCAAGCACCTGAGAAACATGGGTTGCCCATCAGAAACCTGTAGTTTTCCTTCAAAGAGGGGTCCTTTGACCCTTCTCTTTGACTCAGTGGCTTTAAAATGAAGGAATTCAGGCCCCAAGGTGGAGGTGTGACTTGCCTGAGGTGAAACAACTTTTATAGTTCTGTTTCTGCAACGGACTGTCTAGTCTAGTGCTCTCCTCGGCCCACATCCCATGCTACAGACATGGATTTGGATACCACTGTACTTCTGTGGGCCCAGAAATACCAAGTCTGATGCACTATACTAGGAAATGAATGAGATATGTTTTGCATTTGTGTATGTTTCTGAATGCAATTAACAGCTATCCAATTCAAACACATTGAAGGGGAAAAGTGAAGTTAAGAGCTTATTTAGTCGAGAAATCTAAGGCTATAGTTCAGGCATGGGTGAATTGTGGGTCACTCAGAAGTATCATCAAATTACTCCTCTTTCTTCCACTCTCCCTCTTTTTTCTATCCCTGTTCTTTGCTGCCATATGGGAAGTCTGCCTAAGAGTGAAGCTAACACTTAGGAAAGCAACAGTGGCCACAGGCACTCCCAGCTGCTGTTGAGTCAGCTGTTAATCCCATCCAGTGCCTCCCTGATTGTATCTCGAGAGCCCAGGTTGACAGTTCCCACTGGCCCGACTTGGGTGCAGTGGGCATCTCTTAACTCGCCCAATGGTCAGAGGGATAGAGTGTGTCAACCCTGGAGGGGGCTCCTAAATCAAGGACTAAAATAATAAAGGACATGGTTCTTTAAAGAAAAGGTTCTTTAAAGAAAAGCATAAGAAGAGAGAAGGAACACTGGGCAGGCCAAAGCAACTGACTCCCTTTGCAGTAAATTATACAGAAAGCCAAACCAAACAAAAGGATCCCCTGCCCCCTATTTGAAGGCTGTACTCTGAATCCCAGATGGAACTTGGGAAGGACTGACCTTATCCCTCCTCTTAATGCTCTGGCCCCTTTCTTGTAAAGATACAGCATAGGACACCCCCCCATAAGCAGGGGAAGAAATGGGACCCCGGCCAGATGAACCCTGGAGACTGTAAGGACAAGGCCCCAGCAAAGGGCTCCTGCCTTTCCTCCTTTAGCTTCCTCTATCAGCATTCCCGGGGGAGAGGGATGATGGCTTAGACGGAGCTATCTTTTCTGTGAAATAAATTGAAAATCCCCTCACAGTGAGAAGTACTTGACCTTGTTATCAAGCAACGTGGGCCGGGTTAATCAAGTGACCTCTGTCTGGGAGGGTTCCACCCGCCTTGATTTCAGATTTCCAGTGAGTGAGGAGAAACTGGCTTGCCCTTTGCTGGCCTCATCAGGGACAGCACATTCTGCTACCCTGAGGCAGCTGCTCAGATATAGAGCAGTCCTTCCCCTCCACGGCTGTGCCTCCTTCTCTCTGAATCATCAGAGGTAAGCAGATTGGTATCTGGCTTCCCCGGAGGGAGGAAAGAGCATCCTGCTCTATGAAGGTTGTTGGGGGTGCTTGGCTGGAGAGATAGGGAGCCTACCGGTTCTTTTGCAGAATCTGTAAAGGGCATGAAAACACTTAAAAGGAAGAAAAGGACTATGGGAAAAATGTCAACCACCAACAATGTATTCGAGCCTCAGTTGTTTGTGTTCTCATATACACTTCACCACAGATGCAGAGTCTAAGATTCAGGGAAAGGAAAGGTGGCTCTGAAAATGGAACAGTCTATTGGCAGCACTTTAAGGAAGTAAACATTTACTCTGAAATATAATTCATAAACTCAGACTATTTTTTATATGCCCACAGAGTCTACTTTGTCTGGATTTATTAATGTGAGGAGTTGAACCATAGAAATCCTCTGGAGTTCACAAAAAAGATCATTAAAGTAAGAAACCATAACTAAAAGTAGAGTAGGTAAGATTTGGCCCAAAAGTAACATGGCAAAAGGAGACCAAGCTTAGAGCTTGTTCTGAAGAATACGAGAGGAGGAAGTGTGAATGGCCAATCTATTTCTTCCTTATATCACCCAGGAAACTTCTTAGGCACTTTCATCACACTGATTATCTTGGGCGAAGAAAGAATGGAAATAGATGAGCTAGTGTTAACTAGAATTAGTATTTGGCCAGATTGCTTTCCCCACTAATTGTATGAGTTGGGGAAGATCTTCCTCTGTTGAATCT